CACATCTGGACACATATTTACATTTTCCTCAAAGTTCCTCTTTGTCTTCTTGCAATACATTTTTGTTCCTCATAGCTTTTCGGTCAAAATCTTTCAAGGCTGATCCAAAGGCCGTCCTCGTTCAGCTGCTCAAACCCTACACTTGTTTAAATGTGGTGATAAAATTTCTTCCTGCTGCCTTTCAGACTGACCCAGCTTTCCTCCTACTTCAGAGGAGACACCAGACCAAGCTAAGCCAGTGGGAAGTTCAGGCAGAAAAGCCCAAATTCATGGCCGTAAATACTTGTGATCAAAGTTCAACCTTGACTCTAAGGCCTTGGAGTCAGAGACCACCTCCACGTCTGTGCACTGCCTGGCACAGCAGTCCCCGGGGGCTTCAGGGAACAAGGGGGGCCCAGGGATAAAAGAGCTACTCCCAAATGTGGCACCCATCAGTACCCCAGGACAAAAACATGCCTGTGAATTAATGGTTACTGTGTTCACACACTACAAGTTGAATTTACAATGTTCCTGCACTAGTGAATAGCTCTTCACTCACGTCCAGCATTACCTCGGGGATTATTTGGTGAGGATACAGTAATTTCACTTGGGAATTATAGAATTAATTTGGTATTAATTTCATAAACTAGGCTTAGGTCACACACAGGTTCAGGCCTGGCTGTGCTCAGCAACAGCAGAATTTTGTCTGAACAGCTGGAGTCTTCCCAAGGGAGTGTTGTGGCACACAGGTAACAGCTTTGACTTGTACCTAATACTGCTCGTCCTCGCTCGGGAGAGCTGTGCTGCTTCTCTTGAACAGTTCAAACAGACAAAGGGAACGCTAGAAGTTCACTGATAAGGATGCTGTATTTGGGGCTTAACAGCCTGTTGTTTATTTTTGATTTAAGAAAAAAAATTATCATAATGAATCTGCCTGAGACAAGCTTCCTGTAAGAATCTCCAATTCCTTGCGGATGCCAAAGTCTTCAGGTAATTTTTGTTATGTTTGCCTAAAGGCAGTATGTAAGATGAACCACTTGATTTTATTTTTCTGTCAAATGTGCCTGCCTTAGAAATTCCATTTTAGTTATGAAACTTTCGTTTTTAATAATTGCCAAACTCCTGTTACCTGGGCTTTATTTTTATACTAGTTTTTATATGTCTGAGGTTTAGACCACAGTTGACAGCACAAGACTCCATTCCTGTTGTTTGTGGGTGCTCTGCTTGCTGGAGACATTAGAAGCTGAAAGTGTCCCTCTGAGAGAGGGATGCCATCAGCTCATAAAAGCAAACACCACAATTTCCCCCCTTTTATTGCAGTCCAGCACACGAGACTCAGTTCACAAAGTCTTATCTGCCAACTGCTATTTGTTATGCTGTCAGAGTAAAAATTGCACAGGTACTTTAAAGCCATGTGATATCATCTAGTTTGTATTAAAAAGGATCTGATCAAAGGGATTTTACAAAACACCATCTAAATATGGCCACCTCTGCTTTGAGAGTCCTGAAATGGTCACTGTTTCAGCAGAAATATTTTAAGTAGAAACACAGGTGTTTTAGAAACATCTTTAAACCCACGTGGTTTCCTCTGTCCCTGTTAAGGTAACTTGGCTTGAAGCAGCAAAGGGTGTGAGCCTTCAGCACTCTGCTCCACCAGCAACCACACCATGGTCTGCTGCTGGGGCTGCTGTCTGTAGCCGGAGCTGGAGAGACACTCAAATTCAATGCTGCAGTGCCTTCTCTCAGCGCAGGTTTGATGAAGAACAGATATGTTCTTAATGAACTTAAGAATAGTCTCTTGTTGTTTCAGCTGAATTCAGCCAGGAACTGACCTAAGGTCAAGGCCATATTTCAGACAAGGTAAGAGTATTCCAATGTTTTCAGTTCCAGAGAATTAGTTGCAGTTGCAGCAGCACTACTCAGTGCTTTAAGGGGTCACAAAAACTGCCAAAATGATGGCACCCGGTGGGCCAGGAGCAATGTACAGAGCTGCTCCTCTGCAACTCTAGTGCATGGTTGTGCTGGGAGGACAGTGGGAGAACAAAGGGACTGGGGAAAATGGCAGTTAGCCAGAACCCAGGATTTACAATGTGAAGGTGAACGTAAAGCTACCTTTGCCAGTGGTTCCGAAGAGGGAGACATCACCTAAACCTTGCAAGTCTGTTCTGTGGGAGCAAAAAAGACCCACTACTCATCCCATGGAGCCTGTCCGGTCTCTCCTACTCCTCTGGCAGAGGCAAAAGCGACATTTGCATAGGGCTGGCAGAGATGGTGCAGGGCCCAATGGGTCCCTCCTGGGGCAGACACAACCCCTCAGGCCCCCTGGACCTACATGCAGGGCACGAAATGGAGCCCATTATTTCCCTCCAGCAACTTCAGCAAGCACCAGCCCACTTCCCAGATGTGTCCTGCTGTTTCTGCTTCTAGGCATCACCTGAGGCTTCCCACAAGGACCATAGCTCAATCTCTGGCTACCGTGTTTGTGGGTTCAAAAATGGACACAGGTACCATGGCACAGAGCCAGGGAACCTGCCTTCTGCACTGCTGCCTTGTGTTCTGGGATTGTGAGCACAGCCCTGTGGAGACAGAAGCAGCTTCTCCCTCCCACACAAATTCCTCTGCTTTCATTACTTTTTTCTCCCAGTTCAATGACCACCTGGCAGAGCCTGGTGCCACACACACCAGAAAGACAAAGAAATAGAGCGGCTGTTCTCCCTGAGCTTGCTAAGAAGAGCCCACATGATGTTTTACTGGGGAGAGGGAGACAGGCAGAGGGCTGAAGTGTTTTGCTCAGCCTTGGGCTCTGTAAAAGCCTCAGTTTCTTTAAACACATCAATCCAAAGCTCCAGCAAGAAAGCGGTAACCCAGAAAAAATAACCCCCAAGACTACAGTCCCCTGTTCAAAGATCAGGACCTTGATTTTTAAAATAATGAAAGCAGCTCTTTGGGCAGCCCTAAAAGCACAGCTAGCTCTCAGCCCCACACCTATGCCCAGCCCTCCTGGACTTCCACAGGTTGCATCAGGGATGACCCAGGCCAGGAGAGCAGTGGTTGCTAGGATATGAGCCTGAACAAGTATCAGGGAAGTCACCTGGAGCTGCTTATTAGCAGAGGCAGGAAAGGATCAAGGTTTCTGGTGTTCACACCTGATCCTGCTGCTCCTTCCCATCCCATCTCTTACGCTCCTCGCATTTCTACACAGGAGCTGATCAGCTGATCATGCTAATAAAATGACACTTGTGGGCTCTCAATCATGGATATTGCTAACCTGTCCTCTTGGTAACACTGGTGACCTGTTCTGAGTTGCACTGAGTCTGAAATTTAACAAAGGCCTAAGACATAAAGCCATTATTGATCCTGTGCTGCAATGAAAACGGAAACATAAAAGTGAGAATGGAAACAAGCAACAGCACACAGCTTCACCTTTGGCTCATCCCATCTCATTCCTGGGAAAGGGGGTGGCCAGGCAATGAAACACAGCAAAAACCTGCTTTCTTCAGCATGTTCTCTGTGTTTATCAACCACCTGCTTGTACCGTGACATCAGGAGCGGTCTGGGTGAAAGATGCTGCTCACTCCTTTTGCTACTTGTTACCTATTCCCCTCCAGATCCCCCTCCCCTGCTGGGCTGCCTGCTGGCCCCTACAAAGCATCACCCCCATCAGGTCTGCGCACCAGCCTGCGAGGAGGCCTGTGGTGGAAAGGGAAATTTACAGGTCTTGGCTTTACATAAAAGCACACTTAATGGCCGTGGTGGCTGCTGGAGCTGGCAGTGGACCTCTGAAAGATGCCACTGATGCAGCTGTGACAAGGACACCACGTACATGCAGGCAGGAGGTCCCTGACACCACCCAGACAAAAGGGTGGTGTTGCAGTTATTGGCCAGTTGAAAGCCTTGTGAGAGCACCTTTATAACCCAAAACTACTGAATGCAGCTTTTTGTGAGGCTACAATAAGGCACGCCCCAGAACCTGGCACTGTTCCCCCACTAGGCATCAGGGAGGAGCTGCTGCCAGCTCCATCCTTCAATCGCTTGCAGCTTGATAGAACTGCAACTCCCTGCAAAGGGTCCTGCTGCCCCCAGACTGATGGGGTGCCAGAGAAGACACAGCCAGACCCATCTCAGAGATACGCAGTGAAGGGACAAGAGATTGCAGGCACAAGCTGCCGTGATGGACATTCCCATCACATGCAAAGAAAAACCTCTGCCCCAGATGGTGCTGCAGCCCTGGGTCAGGGTCCACAGGGAAAGGGGGGGCTCCATTGTTCCCATGCCTTGTCTGTGGGGTGTCTTGGGGCAGGTGTTGGGGCCCTCAGCTCAGCTCAGACCGTGCCTGTCCAGCCGTGGCTCACTGCCTTTCCTGGGGACAGGCTGGCTCTCCTGCTGACTGCCCAGTTATTATTTTTTTTTCCTCACAACGGCAGCTTTCTCTGCAATGGCTCCCACATCTGCAGCCGTGGGCCTGCAGCAAGTCAATGCGTCCAGTGCCCAGCTCTGGATTCCTCCAGCTGCCATTGATGCTGTGGGTGCTGTGGTAGGGGCCAGGGCTCTCTGGCTCCGGGTACAAGAAGGCAATGAGTCCTTGGGGCACCCAGACGCATCGCATTGCTGTGCCACAGTCCTGCTGCCAGCAGCGAGGTGAGAAGGGCTGGGGGATACCGGGGCAGGTGCTGGGCTGCTGGAGCAGGAGGGCTGCTGCCCTGGGGGGCACCATCGCAGCTCCATCTCTGCCACTACAGCGGAGGCCTGCGGGGAGCTAAAACACTCAGCCTCGCAGATGGGAAGCAGGCACTGCTGCTGGCAGCTAGCTCAGCCTGGTGCAGGCAGGGTGTAAGCATGCAAAGAGCTGGTAGGAAGCATGCACAAAACGCTTCAGTAGTATTTCCTACCTGATAGGAAACAGCCTTGCAGTTTAGATACCAACCACTGCACGGGGGAGGGCATCAACTTGAGAGTCAGGCCATGGGATGAGATTTGGTGCCTTCAGCAGTGGGCCTTGTGTTGGTAAAACAGGAGCCAGGTTACAGGACAGGAGACATTTATCCGTGGTGTATAAATTCACTAAATGCCAGACAATAAGGCTTTTTTTTTTTTTTTTCCCAGCCAGCATCAGTGCATTCAACAGCCTTTGGGAAGGTGGTTTTGCATCTCTGCCTTTTTGATCAGTCTCTTTGGTTTGTCCATTTCTGAAATCCACGGGGAACACTGCAACCCCAATTATTAACATTCCCAAGAGGGTCTCCAAATCAAGCATGGGAGGAGGGAGGTTAGAGGAAATTTGCTTATTTTGTCCTGCTGGCATTCATCAAAACTGGTTCCTGCCTGGGTTCCCCTGACTGCTCAGCTGGAGACAGGCCTGCAGTCCAGAAAGGCAGAGGTGACAGTGGGGACAGCAAAACCTTTCTGAAGGCTCATTGCAGAAATGAAACCAGTGCCTGCCCCTCTCTCAAGCACGGAGAACAAAGCAATGGGTTAAGAAGCAGGAGCCAAAGAAGAGATGAAGTGACAACATGCCACCCGCTAGCCAGGTCAGCACATATGGAAAATGCAGGAGCAGCTAGCTGGAAGCCACCAGGGCTTTGCAGCTTTTCCTTGTTTTCTATGCTCTGCACACCTAGAGAGTCAAGGTGCCAAACCCACATGAGTCACAGGGGATGTGCCAGCTCTCAATATGTGCCAGTCCTTTACTGGCACTCCTGATGCTGTGGCTCTCCTTGCCTGAGAGCTCTTGGTGGAAGGGCCAAGGTCTCTAGGGATCTTCCTCCTTGAAGCGAGAGCTGCTAGCAGTGCTTTATCAGCAGCATGTATGGAGTGTGGGCTCCAGTGCTGCTGACACATGGAGGGTGCTCTGGGGTGGCCGTGCTTGCAAAGCAAAAGGCATCACTGGAGCTTGCCTAGGCTAATGCACCCATCGCTCCCTCTGACCTCGTGTCTGAGGGAAGCTGTGACCATGTCTGAGCTGGAAAAGGCCATGATTGTAATCACTGATGCCTTCCACCAGTACTCAGGAAAGGAGGGAAACAAGCACAAGCTGAAGAAATCAGAACTAAAGGAGCTGAGTTGACCCATTTCCTTGGTGTTAAGTATTGCCCTCTAGACAGAATGCCTGGCCGGGCTCAGGGAGCCATGCTGAGGATCTGGTGGGCTCTGCTAACTCCACCTCCCACGGGAAGCAAGCACAGGGGAAGGATGGGTTCTTTTTATGCAGCAGTGTGTTAAACACTGCTCCAGCTCTACAGGAGCAGCAGGTGGCAGGACAAGGGCAACAGCCTGCGCTGGGGGATGGTGTTCGCATTGGATACTAGGGAACTATCCCCCCCTGGGAAGGGGGGACAGCCTTCTCAGTGGCTTCCGCTTCAGGAGGGCTGCTGCTGTGCAGATGCTCCTGCAGCCATAGGTTGGTGCCCCAACAAAGACAGGAATCAGCAACAAGCTATTTGAGATGCATCTGAACAGCCATTCAGCCATGGAAGCACCCAAGAAACAGGGACATGTTACTGTCTGGGCCTCGTTCTGATCCTCTTTTGCTTTGGCTGCTTGTTTCTTCAGGAGATCAAAGACCTGTGGACAAAGTCATGGAGGCTCTGGACAGCGATGAGGATGCAGAGTGTGACTTCCAGGAGTTTGTAGCGTTTGTTGTGATGGTCACCGCTGCTTGCCATGAGCTCCTTGAGCATGAGTGAGATGGTAGGAAGCAGGTGAACACCTCCTGCTCATGCTGGAGAGATGCAGAGCAGCATCACTCCTCCAGGAAAAAGACTGGCTGTAACAGCTCCTTGGAGCTAGTCTTAAGCAGCTCACGAAGTTCTGTGAACAAAAAACACCCGCACATTTTAGAAAAGTCTATTGGCAGTGCCCACCTGGTTGGTGTGGTATGCAAATTCCTTGTCTTAAGCTCCTTCCCTGCTGCTGTATGCAAGGGACATGCACGGGGCTAGAGGCAGGCGGATGCTGCTACCCAACCTTTCTTGCAAAGGGAAAAGGGAAATTCAAGGGCTGAAGCAGGAGGTGATGCAGAGGGGCTGGTTACAAATGCCTGGTCCTGACTCCCTGGCTGCCATTTATTCCCATGTTTGGAATCACAGCCAGCTCTGAAGGAGGCTCAAAATGCTTAAGCTAAGCTTCAGCAGCAACAGGGTAGGTGATTCAAAGTGCCAGTCCTGACACAACTGATTTTCAGCCTCTGGCAGAGATAGTTCATTTTTCAGGGAGAGAAGGTGACAGGCTAATGACATTATTGAATAATTTTTAGTTACGCTCCCATCCCAGTCAACAGAATCAGCCTGCTGGATACTTGAGGTGTGTGTGCTCTGACAACACTCACTGGCACTGGTTAGATTGATCTGATATTGCACTGAGCCCAGGAGAGCTTAAAAAAAATCCAAATTTTTGTCATTAGTGCAGGCTGGTGTATGACAACCCGGGATACGGCTGGTTTAGTAACATGGAGCTCTGGGGTCTACGCTGTGGGACTCTCAGGCCCCTTGGAGGCTCCCTGGGGATGAAATGGCAGCATTACAGTAGCGTGTAATTTTAATTTCATTTTAATCTCTAAATCTTGAAGTGCAAAAAGACATTTATTTAATGTAGCTTTGTTAGCTGTAAATTAGTTCTTAGATGTAATCCAGATCTATCATCTACTAACATGATTTCTGCATGATACACTGCAATACTTTAAATGTGCAAGCTTTCATAAAATTCCTTTTTTTGGCCTTAAAATAGAGCTGTGACTACACAATAGAAACCAAAACCAGAAGCCTACCCAAAAAGATCCTTCAAGTGCATAACACCTGTTTTCACACAATGGCAGGAAGAGAGCATTAAAAAATCAGGGATGTGGTATAGAAAATTAGGAATGTACACTTTAAATGAACTTGCTGCTTCCTTTTTTCTGCTACAATAAATTCCTGGGTAACAGTAAGTGATAAATAAAGGTGTAAAGTAGCATCATAGTGCCGTTACTAGAATGACAGCTGACATAAAAAGTCACTATGAAGTACTGGTTCACAAAGAATACTGCTGCAACAAAGGCAGTTTTATTAATGTTTACAAAATTATTTAACACTCACTGGAATCCAATCTCATTCCCGAAATATATCCAAAACATTCCGATTCAACAGCAACCCTTCTGTGACATCTTTCCTCATTCCCTCTGCATGGTGACTGGCCAGCAAACCAGCTACAGCAATTTTTTAGTTCAGGAGAGGTGATTAGAATTCCCTCCAAAAGATCAGGTGAAAAAAAAAAACCACCCCAACATTCTTGTAGCTTATGATAAGCTGGGATTTCAAATGTCAATTTAAGATGAATTACAGATTTTTGACACCTGTCTTCATTAGTTTTGAGAAAGATGAGCTAAATTGCTTTGGCAAATAAAACCTACCATACTGTAAACGCACTTCATACGCAGCATTATCTGTAAGACAAATACAATGCCTTGTTGTAGTTAACAGTGAGAAAATGAGAAAAGACTCAAAGATGCTATCATATTACTACGTACAGTGCTTTTAAAAACAAATTGCGTTTTGCAGGATAAATTCATGCTTGTTTCCTAAGCTCACTGTTGCTACAAAACTGTTTTCTGTAGCTGCACCATCTCTCTTTTCTCTTCCAACAAAAACTTCCCCTTCATTTAAGGGACTACAATTCCATATACAAAGAAGCATCCCTTTTTCAATTTGGGTAAAAGCAGGTGCTTTGGTCAGGAATCCCTGGAAGTCTGCGTTAGAAAATGCTGCTGACATGAAACAAAACCACCGGGGCCCACGAATGGAGTGGAATCCCCCTGTAACCACAGAGCATTCCGCACTGCATACAGTCTGCAAGGAGCCTCAGCAGACTTCTACCTACCTATCTGCTGCGCCCAAAGAAGTGTTTGCATTGAACCTTGCATTGGAGAAAGAATTCCAATTTGGAAACGCGCTCTGGAGTAAGGCTGGTAGAGCATGTAATTTTCTTTTGATAAAAATTAAACCAGATACTCTACCTCTCGTGAGCCATGCTGCAGAAGGCCAGGAACAGTTCTTGTTTTAGTGACTTTTACAGCTTTCCTGCCTGCTGCTGTTTTGGGTCAGCCTGGTGAGGTTGCTCGAGGCTGTCATGTCGGTGCTGCTGTTTCTGTTCCTGCTTTTTCTTTTGAGTTAGTGTTTTTGCCCTAGTGGTCACAGACCTGGGTTGAGCATCAGGTCTCTCTTCATCTTGCTGGTGCTTTTTACAATGTTTTTCAAAGGTTGAAATTTTGGCATATGTCCGGTTGCAAACCAAACAGTGGTATGGCCGCTCCCCACTGTGTGTTCTCATGTGCAGCTGGAGGTAAGAGGACCTGGAAAAGGCTCGGCTGCAGACCGAGCAGCACTGAGGCTCGCGTACCTCGTGGGTCTTCAGATGCTGCTTAAGGGATGACGCCTGCTTGAAGGCCTTCCCACAGGTGGAGCACTTGAAGTTCCTCTCGCCTGACTCGAGAACCTGGTGTGACACGAGGTGGGCGGAGGAGCGGAAGTTCTTCCCGCACTTTTCGCACTTGTAGGGCCGCTCCCCGGTGTGCAGGCGGACGTGGAGGACCAGCCCAGCCTTCTGCGTGAAGGCCTTTTCGCACTGCAGGCACTTGAAAGGCCTCTCACCTGTGTGCACGCGGCGGTGGGTGGCGAGGTGCGAGGAACGCCCGAAGAGCTTGCCGCATTCCTCACACTTGAAGGGCCTCTCCCCAGTGTGGATGGCCTTGTGGCGCACCAGGTGGGAGGACTGGAGGAAGAGCTTCCCGCAGACGGAGCACTGGTACTTGCGCTCGCCTGTGTGGGAGCGGAGGTGGAGGGCGAGGTGCGACGAGGAGATGAAGGCCTTGCCACAGAGCAAGCAAGCATGGGGCCGCTCTCCGGTGTGGGTGCGCTTGTGGAGGACCAGCCCCGAGGAGAGGGCAAAGGCCTTGGCGCAGACCGGGCAGCGGTAGGGCTTCTCCCCGGTGTGGACCCGGCGGTGCTTGGCCAGGGCGCCCGCCTGCGCGAAGGCCTTCCCGCACTGCTCGCACCTGTGGAGCCGCTCCGCCCC